TGCATAATTCTGTCAGATTTGAGGGAAGCTTAGCAACGCAGAGACAAAGGACATTGAGCAACGCAAGACCAATGGTAAAGTCGAGAGCTCTCCCTTTTTTCCTTTCTTTGTTGAGGCCATTTGGTGTAAGAATCATCACTACACATCTAGCATTAATCCGCAACAGAACGGCGTGATTGGTTTGTAAGTACTTAGGAGTGAGAAAAAACGGATTCTATGTGTGTGAAGATGAAAGTTGTGGTCTCTACCATTTTGATTTGAGTTTACATTTCCTAGGAGCACAAAATGGCCCACTGGCTTTTTCCCTTCCTTTTCATGTTCTTGAGAATAGTGTAGTTTCAAAGATATTACAGATTTCCTTTGTCTCTCATCTCTACAGGTTTTAATACTAAGGTTTTTTTTGGTTCTTGAGAATAGTGTAGTTTCAACAAGGTGATCTGGTTTTTTTCGGTTTCGAATGATTTTGGTTACAGTCACAAAATTTGAATGAATCTAGATTGACTTGCTTAAGAGAGGGATTTGGTTCTTGAATTGCCAAATCAAACTCAAAGATATGAACTTGAGTTTGATCTACAAAGAAAGTGGGTTGTTGGGTTGCATTGCATACTGTCATTTGGATGAAATCTTGATCCTATTGTCTTGATTATGGATTGTAAATGATTTTGTTTTTGGTTAGGAAGACTCACTTAGTGGTTGGAAATTAACTAGAATATTTACATATTCACAAGGAACCTACCATGTGACAAAACTAGAATCATTCAAACATGGTAGAACCACTAAAATCAACTTTTGTTTTGAGGAAGATTACACATTTCTTTTTTTCAACACAATCAACGGTTTAGATCTGTTCTTGCATTTTCAATGAAACTGTTTGGATATCAATTTCTTAGATTGAAAATTGATTTTTCTGCGATTACATCGATTTGCAGAAAGGTGTGTACTCAAAAGGGGTCTCGGTGTTGATGCCAGGAGACAATATACCTACATTCATCGCTCACCCCGTACCCGCACCCGCATCCAGAGATCCAAACACTCTAAGTTGCAGCTCAAACTCAGTTAAAGAATGTTAAAAATTCGAGTTTTGCATTATTCAATGGCTCTGATTGGTAACCTTGCGGAATGGCGGAATCGCCTAAAATCACAGTTTTGCGTTCATCTTTTGATCGACTACCACTATATATGTAGATAGAGAAAACACTTATGATTAAGCTTGTATTGATGAAATGGTGATGAAACTAGACTTGTTTATATACAAGTTGTTCTACATTTTGACACCTTCATCACATGCTCTATGGAGTCTACACTCTGGTTGGACCACCCTATGTCAATGCATACCACACAAACTACTTCACCGAGCAATTTGCTTCAATTTACTTTTTAACGTTTTGTGTCTCTAAATTGCAAAACATGTTTGAGAAAATCAAAAATTGGTTAATTTTAATTATTTTTTAATAGATCCCTCTCTGTCCCTAACCCAGTTCCCTCCCTTCTCATCTCCATCATCCTCCCCAACTCGTTTTCAGCTTTGGAAAGCGAAGAACTAATCTTTAGTTGTCATTTCATTCCTCTTTTTTCAATTGAGTCTCTCCATATCTCGACGCTTGATACTTTAGGGTTTGATTGGTTCACCCGCTACCACCCGCAAACGCGTTTGCGGGCATTTGCGGTTGATAGCGTTTAGCACCAATCACGGACACCGCTTCATACCGCTTTGTATCGCTTCGTGCCGCTAGAAATCAAAAGCTTCTTTCCGCAAGCGTTTGCGATTGCGGGCGGTAGCGGGTGG